GCACAACCCCATTGCACAACCCTGGTGAAACCCCCCCATTGCACAACCCTCGTGCACAACCCTCGTGCACAGCCCTGGTGCACAACCCCATGGCACGGCCCTGGTGCACAACCCCAGCGAACCCCCCTCCATCCACACCCCTCGTGCACAACCCTGTTGCACGACCCTGGTGAGCCCCCCCCATTGCACAACCCCAGTGCACAACCCTCGTGCACCCCACCCGTGCACACCCCTCTGCACAACCCTGTTGCACGACCCTGGTGAGCCCCCCCCATTGCACAACCCCAGTGCACAACCCTCGTGCACCCCACCGTTGCACACCCCTCGTGCAAACCCCCTCCGTCCTTGCACGCCCGCAAACCCCACAGCACTGCTGTGCCAGAGCCACTTTGCACGAGGGTTCGCACGAGGGTTCACACGAGGGTTTGCACTGGGGTTTGCACGATGATTTGCATGAGGGTTTGCAGAGGGTTCACACAAAGATTTGCACAAGGGTTCACATGGATTTGCACAAGGGTTCACACGAGGATTCACACGAGGCTTTGCACGAGGGCTCACAAGAGGATTTGCGTGAGGGTTTGCACGAGGATTTGCATGAGGGTTTGCACGAGGGGTTGCACAAGGATTTGCACGAGGGCTCGCATGAGGATTCACACGGCGGTTTGCACGACGACCTGCATGAGGATTTGCATGAGGGTGTGCATGCAAATTGACACGCGGGTTTGCACAAGGGTTTGCACGAGGGTTCGCGTGAGGGTTCACATGAGGGTTTGCGTGAGGGTTTGCATGCGGATTCGCACGAGGGTTTGCACAAGGGCTTGCATGCACAGTTGCACGAGCGTTTGCACAAGAGTTTGTGTGCAGATTCACACAAGGGTTTGCACGAGGGTTTGCATGAGGGTTTGCACGAGGGTTTGCGTGCAGATTTGCATGAGAGTTTGCACGAGGGTTTGCACAGCACAAGGGTTTGTGCGCAGATTCACACAAGGGTTTGCACGAGGGTTTGCACGAGGGTTTGCATGCAGATTCACACAAGGGTTTGCACGAGGGTTTGCATGAGGGTTTGCACGAGGGTTTGTGTGCAGATTCGCACGAGGGTTTGCACGAGGGTTTGCATGCAGATTCACACAAGGGTTTGCACGAGGGTTTGCATGAGGGTTTGCACGAGGGTTTGTGTGCAGATTCGCACGAGGGTTTGCACGAGGGTTTGCATGCAGATTCACACAAGGGTTTGCACGAGGGTTTGCATGAGGGTTTGCACGAGGGTTTGTGTGCAGATTCGCACGAGGGTTTGCACGAGGGTTTGCATGCAGATTCACACAAGGGTTTGCACGAGGGTTTGCATGAGGGTTTGCACGAGGGTTTGTGTGCAGATTCGCACGAGGGTTTGCACGAGGGTTTGCATGCAGATTCACACAAGGGTTTGCACGAGGGTTTGCATGAGGGTTTGCACGAGGGTTTGTGTGCAGATTCGCTCACAAGAGGAAGGCCTCGTTCCAGACGGGGTTGAGGGTGGCCTTCACCGTCCGCGTCTTCTGCTTGGAGAGGTTCTTGGGGTCGGGGATCAGCTTCAGCTTCACGTAGGGATCCGAGAGGCCGTTGGGATCCATCGGGATCAGGTTGCGCGCCTCCCCCACTGCGGGGGACCCCGGCGGTTGGGGGGACCCAGGGCTTTG